ATATCCAGTCAAACTACTGAAGTAAGAGGGTAGGTTTAAGTCTAGATAGCTCTTTGCAGTTCTAGAGAAAAAAAAAAAAACAAAAAACAAAAAAACGACTAGATTTAGGACAGGAAGGAAGGCCCTAAAAGAGATGTCACCAAAACAATAAAATGTGTAGAATATTGATGTGAATTAGGTATCCTATCACTTGATTGTTCCAAGGGAATGTTTAAGCAACCAGGAAATATCTGGGACTGATTCAGTAGTATCCACTTAAGAAAACAAGCAGGTGAAAGAGGGAAAATACATATTTTAACTTAGAGAAGGGGCAGGAAAAGTAATGTATATCATATTTCTAGCTGTTAATGGAGCTCTAGACAACACATTGAAAATTTGAATTCTGCGCTATGAGCAAAATGATGACAGAATAATTGGAGGATGATAAGAGACATAAAAAGTATACATACTCAGTGAAGGAAGACAAGAAAGAAATCTGCAATCGCTGCCACCAGGTGGCAATAGTGAGTTACATGTGGACCTGCAGGATTTCTGTGGTGACAGGTCCCTGGTGATGATGTCATTGGATTCCACATTTGGTCATGTACTCGAAGAAAATTTTTTAGTAACTTGGAAGAAGATGTGGAAGGCATACCCACAAGGTCTTAGATGTCAAATATTTGTGTGGAATAACTATGGTAGACAGAAGGGATTGAATAAAAACACAATAGGTTACCATGTGGTAAAAGCAGTATGAATCGAAGCTCAAGTTTTAAAATTCACATAAATAAAGTAGTCTGGAAGGCAAGATTGTACAGGAGAAATTTACTGAGAGGGAACTCACAGACATAGATTCTGCTTTCAAGTCTGCAGTAATCAGCTTGGTCACACTTGAGACCCATTTTGCTCTTCTGAAATATTAGATTTTTATACCAGATAATCTCAAACCTGTCTGCTCTAATAGTCTATCTTCCTTTATATTTTTTAAAAAACCTTATTTCTGGTTATAAAAGTTATAAAAAGTATCAAGAAGGTGGAGGATACCCCTAATCTTATAATTAAGAAATAACTATCGTTAATATTTTGATACATTTCATTTCATTAAATATATTATTATAAATTAAATGTAATATTATATTATTAGCATATATATTAATATTAAAAATTAAATGTAATATATTACATTTCAGACACACATATATATGTAGAAATATTGTTTTAAAAATTTACATAATTTTGTACTTTTCATTTCACATAAATCTCCTTATACATTATAACACAAGTACTTTTTTATTCATAATGTATCTGTGACTACATCCTGTGGTCACCTCAGCACAACAGGTTTTCCCTGGCCACGTCATTATTGGCAATCCTCAGTTTCACCTCTTTTGACATTTTGCTCCTCCTCTCATCTTTGCTTTGGAATTCTTTTTTTCTCCCAAACTTTTAGGATGAAATACACACACACACACACACACACACACACACACACACACACACACACCAAATTCCTCCTCTACTTATGGAGATTGTAGTGATTATTGTATTGTCCTGATATCTGCAAACGTATGTGCCCTCTGCATCAGACTCTCACTTTTTACCCCAAATGATTTATTCCACCTCCCTCTCTCAGGTTAAATGCTTGGTCTCAGGTTGAAACTATTATCTGGGCAGAAGACTAAAGATTAATCTGCTGTGATACCTGCCCCCTTTTTATAATTTCTATACCATTAGCTCAATTAGTGGCTCATTTCAGGCTTTCCTAAGAGCCCTAGTTTTCAGCTCAGTGCCCTCTGCTGCTGTTGCTCTGGTCCTCATGCTTTACCCTTTACTTCAGTATCGTCTCTTCTACTAGTTCAGCCCAGTGAGCACCAGTGAACACAAGCAATCGGTAAAAATAACAGTAAATCTGAATGCATGGAGCCCATGCTTACTGGCTAGATAAAAAAACAATCTGCATTCACCATCCTCTCTCAAAAACTCCTCCTCTTAACCTTTAATTTGCATTGTGATGTATTAGTGTTAACATTTACTGTAGAATTCAAATTTACCCTGGATTTTAATGCCTTTATAAATTGTCAATGATAGTTGCATAAACATCAGCTCATGAGCAGTAGCAATATGTATATGTTAAAGGTTCTTGTTAATAAAAAACGTATGGCTAATTCATAAGGCATAAAGCATGGCAAACATATTAATCTGTTTCTGTTTTGATTTTTTGTTTTATGTCTTCTGATGTCTTTAATAATTCTCCATATATGCATATATTTACAGTTAAGCTTTTATATGAAATCCAATTTGTTCTATATTTATATTTTTGAAAGTTTTAAGGTGGCAAAGAGAAATCGTATAAACATTACATATTTTAAGATTCCATTTTTATTATCAATTTAATAATATTCAAATTGTGCATCACTTTCTGGTTTGTGTTTGAAGTCTTCCCTATAGAAATATTCAACGTTAAGCCCTAAATTTCAATTGTCACTTTGTATCACTCATAAGACTTTTTAAACATATTTCCCTATTTTATTTACATAACCACTTATTTTGTGTCAAATTTCAATGGCATTTTTTTTATCACATGGAAAATACAAATCATTTCCATGTATAAAATATAAGGCAAACAGAGATGTCTGTAAATTAATGTATTTTGGGTGAAGCATAGAGTCCTTTGGAGGCTGACCTTTAATTAGAAAGTAGAAGGTCAATTACAATCCAACGCACCCGACCCTGTCATGCTAAATGCCATTTTCTTATCTATCGTCACTTTCAGTGAGTAGTAATTTTTACCTTAACTCGACTTTTCAAAAAGATCTTTTTATAATGTCTCAAATAGCATGCTTCTCTGTATGGATAAGCACAACATTTCTTCTATTCATCCCGGAGAAGGGAGAACCCTTGCACGCTTGTAGTGGCAATATAAATTGGTGCAACCATTATGGAAAACAATACAGAGATTCCTCAAAAACTTAGAGAAAAAATAGAAGTATAATGTGATCCAGCAGTCCCACTTCTGGATGTATGTACCCCCAAGATGAAATCAGTATGTCAAAGAAATATCTGCTTCCCCATATTCATTGCAGCATGCTTCACAATAGCCAAGATATGGGAACAACTTAAGTGTCCCTTGATAGATGATGAATAAATAAAATGTGCTCTGAGTTACCGTAATAACTGCTTTATGGTTGTCCTTGCGTCAATTATTGCCTACTTGAGACCTTTCCTCCACATGGCTGCCTAAAAAAATGTACAAATGTATTTAGGAAACACACAAGTAGAAGAAGACAAAAAGATAACAGGTGTTTGTGTATTCCTTAACTACATTTAGATTTTTGTTTAAAGGCTGTGGTGTGTAGAATGGGTCTGTAATAGGCAAGAATTGATGTAATAATGAAACACATTATTTCATTAACATAGGCCAGAGGCAAAGTTGACTGAGACCAGGGAGACGACAGTGGATATGGAGAAAATGGAACAGAGTCCAGGCATATTTCAGTAAATACAATTGACAGAATTTGATGGGATGAGAAAGATAGTGTTTTTAAGGAGGACAAGCAATATGTCATAGCAAAGTGGCTGACAGTATGAGCTCTAAAGCAAGACTGCATGATTTCAAAACCCAAGTCTGCCATTTTCAGGCTCTGGGTCTCGAGCAATTCTGTTAACTTCTCTATGTCTTATGTCTTTCATTCATAAAATGACATTGTAATAGTACCCACCTCATTGTACTGTAAGACTTAAATTAATTAAAATATTTAATTGATTTTAACTTGCACCAGAACTTATTACATGCTAAGGACACTGTTTCTTATTATAGTGATGGTGATGACAGTAGCTTAGATAGGTGATCCTGATGAACTAGGTTTGACAAAAGAAGTAATATCTTTAGTTCTGAACATTTCTAGATTGGAGTTTTGTTGAAGACATTCAAAATATATATATTCACAAATCAGTTGAAATATATATATATATATATATATATATATATCACAAATATATATAGTCTTGAGACAGAGTTTTGCTCTGTTGCCCAGGCTGGAGTGTGGAGTACAGTGGTGCAACTTCAGCTCACTGCAACCTCTGCCTCCCAGGTTCAATAAATTCTCCCTCCTCAACCTCCCAGGTAGCTGGGATTATAGGTGCCCACAACCACACATGACTAATTTTTGTATTTTTAGTAGAGGCAGGGTTTCGCCATGTTGGCCAGGCTGGTCTAGAACTCCTGACCTCAAGTGATCTGCCTGTCTTGGTCTTCTGAAGTTTTGGGATTACAGACAGGAGCCACTGTGCCTGGCCATCAAATTAGGTATATGGGATTGAAAACATTCAATTTCAGGAGTAATATCCTCTGGGAACCATCCATTAACATGCATAGGTGGGGAAACTCTTCCAAAAGAAGTTTAGGAATGTATTGACTATGTACCACCAGTATCAACAGAAAAATAATGAAAAGCTTTGGGAGTAGTGGCAAGAAGGGAAGACATGAGGGAAGAGTTTGGTATAGGACAAGAAAGAAGGATGAGGAAATGAATGAAATTTGGTTTTAAAAAATATTTCAGTGGTTTAAGTTTAGATACTTTTATTGCTACATCTCTATTGATGGAAAGATAAACGCTCTATTAGTCAGCTCACATCATCATAAAAAAACACCACAGACTAAGTGGCTTAAATAACAAAAATTTATTTCTCACAGATCCGGAGACTGGATCAGGGTCTGCCAGGGTCAGTGTCTGGTGAGGCCTCTCTCCCGGCATTGCAGACAGCCACCTTGTTGTAGCTTTCTCCATGGCAAAGAGGAAGAGAGAGAAATCCTCGTATAAGGACCCAATCCCATCAGACCAGGGCCACATCCTCATGACCTTAACTCACCAAGTACCTTCCAAAGGCCCCATCGCCAAATACTACCACATCAAGGGTTAGGGTTTCAATGTATGAATTGGTGGGGGTGGTGGGACACAAACATTCAGTCCATAACAAATCTAGAGCAGTTCTCATGGTACTTTTTTGTTGTTGTTGAACAGAGCTCGGGCATGGGAACCAAATATCGAACAAAGAAGGACCACATGATATGTAAACTTATGTGTTTGTGCATTGCTTACTCTTCTACTATTGGTGGACTGACAACAATCACTGGTACCTCCACCAACCTAATCTTTGCTGAGCATTTCAATACGTAAGTAACCTTATGGATTGCTGATTTAACATGTGGGCAGCACACAAATTATAAAAATTATTCTTACCTGATTCAGAGAATTTAAGTACAGAGATGTTATTTTAACTCTCCTTTGTTTCCCTCAGGACATCTGTAGGTCTACAGACCTTCCTCTGTACTGAAAGTTAAATATTCAGGGCATAGTGAATTAACTTGTGCCAACAGATTTCCCAGGTCAGCTCAGAGGATATAATTCTTGGCTGACCACTCTAAACAGGCAGGAAAAATATTTTTCATTGAAAACAATACCCCAAATGGTAGTTAACTAAAATGAAAGGAATTATTTTGTTGGGACAATTTGTGTAGAGTTTGGGGACCAATATTTGAACTTAAATAATGAATGGTGAACAGAGGTATTAATTACAGAAGGCTTGGCTTTGGAATTCAAAAAAGATGTGAAAGATTGAACAATTACAGTAAATGTCAGTAATAGTCTACAAACAGATACATGACTCTTAATATGTTTGGAACTGTGATGATAATCCAATGAAAAAATGGAGAATCTGTGGACACAACAGGTAGAGCACTTGTGTTAAAAAATCCTCAGTTTGCAGGTACTTACATTGTGAATTACTTTACTTATTTATTTTTTTGAGACAGAGTCTCACTCTGTCACCCAGGCTGGAGGACAGTGGTGCAATCTCAGCTCACTGCAACTTTCACCTCCTGGGTACCAGCGATTGTCATGCCTCAGCCTCCCTGGTAGCTGGGATTATAGGCATGCACCATGATGCCCCACTAATTTTTAGAAGATGTGGGATTTTGTCATGTTGGCCAACCTGGTCTCAAACTCCTGGCCTCAAGCAATTTACCCGCCTTGGCCTCCTAAAGTGCTGGGATTATAGGCATGAGCCACTGCACCCAGCCACATTGAGAATTTAACAACAAAACGGTACATGATTCTCCCAAGGCTTAATTTTTTTCATACGTAAAATAGTCACAGTTTATAGGTTTATTGTGAGAATTAAATGAAGTAAACTATGTAAAAATATTTTGCATTATGTAAGTATCATTGAAACAATAGTATGAAAGTCCATGGTGTCATATGAGCACTCAGACTCGTTCCACTAAAAGAACAGATAATAATCAGAATTCTAAGAAGATGGACAAGATTGCAAAAGCCTAGGAACAGGATGTGGGTTTACGAAAAAATAGAGTTCAGAGGCAGGAAAACTACTCTCTGAAAAGTAGATTCATAGACACTGTGAATTTTTTGAAATTATTTGCAAAATGTTGTGCCTGAATAGATTCTCTAAGAAATCCATGAGTCAAAGAATGTCGATCTCCATTCTAGAAAGAATGGGTGTTTGTGTTCAAAGAACACTGGTATGGAAGTTTAGGATCAGTATTACACAGACCTCTATGAATATTGTTTCTATGAATACAAATCCATCATATATACTCCAATTACTGAGTGAGAAAGAAAACTTTAAGACTTTTGGTTTATAAATAAGAGACTTCTGAAATTCACAGTACCAGAGAGTGTTTATCCAATGTATCCTCTAATTCAAGACAGGAAATGCACCTGCTCTTTTTGAAAATGACTAATATCATTTCTCATGAATTCTCCAAGGGAAGAAATTCCACATTGTAGCTCTCCTCTGTGAATTTCCTTTTCTAATATCTAGACCAATTCTTATGCTTCATCTTGGTTGATATTAGAGAACTGCTGTTTTCCATCATTCCCATGAAATTACTTGATACAGTCAAAGTAATTCATACTGAGGTCGTTTTGGTCTTGTGATCTTGCAGAATATATCAGCCAAAGTTTGTTTTAACTTTTACTTATTGAATGCACTAATCCATTTGTAACGACAGATTAAGAGCATTATAGCATTTTGAGCAAAAGGTTTTAGTAACTATTTTCACTAGTTGTCTAATCTTCTGTTTCTCCTAATCATGGAGATTTGGTCAAAAGGTTCTTTAAATTTAGAGAATGCTTAAAATATACTTTGAAACATAATGATGCTTTTCTCCAAAGGGTTGTCTTTACATTAGGAATTATATGCAAACTGGAAAAAATTCAGAGTCCTTTTATGAAATAAAATACTGGAATAGAAGGGAAAAGAACCTTATGTGAAAAAATATAATTGATAGTATTAAACAAGTGAGATATTTATTGAAATTTTGCTTAGATGTTGGCCCTACAAAACATGGTAGCATCTAAAGGCAATAAAAAAATGGAATGCATTAAATTTCATTGAAAAATATTATAGAAGCTCAAAATTCGATTCGTGTGTATGTGTGTGTGTGTGTGTGTGTGTGTACTTTTTCAAATATTTGGAGCTGGAGAGAAATAGCTCTTTATCTACATATCCACTACAATAATGCCACCTTTTCCTCTTGATACCATTTGTCATCTTTTAGCGTTGTACCAATGATCCTTTTGAACAATTTCATTTTGGATCCCTCCCAGCTCCAAAGGATGCAAAAAACTTCAGAGTTAATGGCTTCATATCACTGACATTTAGAGAAAAGTGTCATCTCACAAATAAACTTAGAGGAAGAAATTATGTAACATATTTTGAAGCGTTATATTGTTATTCTTTTGATATACATATAATGTACAATCTCTTTGTATGTTATGTGTATATGTAATAATATTTACAATGTATTTTGTATTTTTTTACATAAAGGAAACAAAAACAATGAATTCTGAGAAAGCTAAAAGTTATTCAATAAAACAAAAACAGACCTCCATTCATTTATTCAATTAACAAACATTTCTTGAGAATTGGCAATGTGCAATGCATGGTTTTGAATTATATTGTAGAATGCAAGAAATAAAACCTGCCAGGAAGAATATTCATCTTGTTGCCTAGACAAAACATACATATGAGAAAAACCACTAAAATGTAAAAACCTAGAAACCTATAGGTGAGAAGGTAGAGAGATGTATTAGGCTCTTGCCAGATAATTTACATACATTATAGCGCACCTATATCCTACATCCTTTCTATGACGGTGGTACATAGTCCGTGATTAAAAGCATATGCTCAGGAGTTAAAGCGTCTGTGTTCAAATTTCAGCTTTTTCATTCATCAGCTGGGTGACTTTGGACAATTATTAAGCTCTCAAAGCCTGTTGCCATTCCAAACAAATGAGGAAAATAATATGATATCTCTCATAGAGGACTGTTTTGAGTTTTGTATAAAATAAGTAGAACTTAGTGCCTAGCACAAAGCATGGGTTCAATAAATGTTGGTTGGCCAGGTGCAGTGGCTCACACTTACGATCCCAGCACTTTGGGAGGCCAAGGTGGGTAGATGGCTTAAGTTCAGGAGTTCAAGATGAGCCTGGACAACATAGCAAAACCCTGTATCTACAAAACATACAAAAATTAGCCAGTACGGTGGTGTACACCTGTAGTCCTAGCTACTCGGGAGGCTTAGGTGGGAGGATGGCTTGAGCCCAGGAAGTGAAAGTTGCAATAAGCTGAGATTGCACCACTGCACTCCAGCCCAGGTGACAGAGTGAGAACCTGTCTCAAAATAAAATAAATAAATGTTGGTTATCATTACTACTAGAGTTGAGAAAGTTGAGGTTTAGCTTAGCAGATTGAAGACCAAAACCAAAGGCTGCCTCCTTAAAATTTACCTTCCTGGTTGGGAGGCCGAGGCGGGTGGATCATGAGGTCAAGAGATCGAGACCATCTTGGTCAACATGGTGAGACCCCGTCTCTACTAAAAATACAAAAAAAAAAAAAATTAGCTGGGTATGGTGGTGCGTGCCTGTAATCCCAGCTACTCGGGAGGCTGAGGCAGGAGAATTGCCTGAACCCAGGAGGCGGAGGTTGCGGTGAGCCGAGATTGCACCATTGCACTCCAGCCTGGGTCACAAGAGCGAAACTCCGTCTCAAAAAAAAGAAAAGAAAAAAATTTACCTTCCTGGAAACATCACAGAAGGGTGTCCTAAAAGAGGGCTGTAGCTATGTGCCACATACCTTGGTTACTACAGAAAATGTGTCCATATGACTTGGAATAATCTTGAAAGAGGTAAACACATTTATGGAGAAAAGGAATGGAAATAGTTCATTAAATCAAAGTACCAAAAAGTCTGCAATGCGTGTTTCAGGGAGGAGTGACATAGTCTGTGCATGTTTTGCATACTTTACAGGATGCAGATTGGCGCTATAGGAGTCTGGAGACAGGAAACCAATTAGGAGTCTGTGATGAAAGTGCCGACGATGAAAGGCAGAACTAGGCTAGCTGTGAAGTGATAGGAGGATCTGGACTCAAGACACTGCAAAGTCAGAAGGGTGTGAGTAGTTAGATATGAGGATTTAAGGGCAAGGAGGGCTTAGGGCAACTCTGGGGACTTTTGTCCATAAGGTCAGATGATAGTGATGACATGGACTTCTTGAGAAGAAATGGGAGAGTTCAGGTTCCCTGGAGATATCATTAAATTTGAATTTGGATGCATTGAAATGCCTCGTGCGAACCTATCCACAAAGTGACTTCCAGCAATCATTTGCAAATGCCTTATTTGAGTTAGTTATAAATTTGAGTATTTATATAGGCAAATATGAAATTTTTGAGCATGAAAATGGTCACATATGAAAAAATGTTAAAAGAACTGAGACATGGATAGACTCTTAGGAAATACTGACAAGGAAGAGGATGAGCAAAGTTAATTGAGGTAGGAGAGGAATCAGAAGTATATGGTACTTTGGAATCTGGAAGACCATTTTCAAAATGGAAGATGAGTCAGGGATTATACAGTGATAGAAGAGAGGCATGTAGGATGATGGCTGACGTTTATAAAGTATGAAATATTTCTGACATTCTTATTCTTAGAATCTGGTAGTAGCTGTGGCACCTAAATTCTTAAATTCCTGCACTCCTCTATTGTTAATTCACCATTAGCTTTAAAAAATCCTTGCAACAGGGCATTCTGGAAATAGTTTTTGTTCTATTAGCTCTTGTTTTAATTATATAAATTCATTACATTTTTCCATAAGG